AAACTTGCTGATAGTACACTCAATTCCCTCTGAAGTGTTAATTTTCTAAATGATTTTTGTAAAAATAACCAACATAAAAGAGGATTTAGCTAGGTGCAGGAAGTAATTCTGTCCTAGAATATTTGTAAACATTTGCAGATTCAGGAAGCTCCATTTTTTTAAAGAAATTAAATAAAAGTGTATTTTAATAAATGGCCTGAATTTTGAGAGATGTTAAATCTTGATGAATTCTATAGTGATTACAAACTTAAAACCATTTTTAAAATTATGATAAACATTGGTGTTTTAGTTCGAAGCTTCTCATTAATGATGTGTTTGTCAGCATCAGAGAGGGTTAACAGAACACACGCAAACACACACACCTATTTTTATTGTCATCTCAGGCTCTCTTCACCCAGAGGCAGTTCTGTAAACATTGGCCAGCTATTTAAGCTGATGCTTTCTTTCGGTGCTTAATGAGTGTTCTGTCTCCTGTGATCTCAAGAAATCACAGCACATCTGGGTTTTTTTGTCCACCCCACTGACTTTCTTCTTCATCTTTGCTTCTCTGAAAAAATTTTGCATCAGTTTGTGTAGCTTAGCCTTTGAAAAGTACTGCGGAAAATTCTAACTGACATTGAAAAAGTCTGAATAAGCACGATAACTTAGTCTTTGTTTTTTAATAGTACCTTTCAATTTCAGGATGCATTCTGCTTCTAGTCATGATGGCCACAAGCATCACAGATCTCAAACATTACCAATAATCCGTGGCAAAAATGCGCTTTCTAACCCCAAACTCTTGCAGATGATAGACAGCAGCACTGCAAGTAAGTACAAAAAATGTTTGTGTCCCCCTAGGATCCTATGGGTTCTGGATCAGGCGCTGTACAATTAAATCTGTTTTCATAAGTGCCACTGAAAGACAGCCTTAAGAGAAGAGCCTGAACATAAATAGAGCTCTTGACTTTGCCAGGTTTGTTTGAGGAGACTAAGAAATCTGAGCTTCAATTTGGTCATAGTTCATTTAGAAACAAAATTGGTTACAGTAACCTGACATATTTAAATAGCTTAAATGACAAGTTATTCCCCCCTTCTGAATATCTCTTGCATCTATGGTTATGTATCTTGCACTACAAGCAGATGTGCACTGGCAGAAATATTACATTTATTAGATCTAGCAATAAAGGTGACCTTTTTGTAACAGAAGGTTCTTTAAATTATGAGATCAACGTCATCTATCCCACTTTCAAATTAGGTCTCTCTCCTCCTTTGAGGGTGAATAGAAACAATAAAAGAATATACTGGCAGCACTGGTGCGGCTAGGAAAGTTGACTCGAATTTCCTCTCCTTTCATCTCCTTTAAGCAGTTTTTTTCAGAATACCCCTTTGGTTAAATTGTACAGCTGGGACCTCGTCTCTACTGTGCTGAGACCTAAGGACCTTGTCTTTAACAACGCTCAGAAGGTGGTTTGTCATCTTCCTTTTTGTGTTGCAGGCAGCTCCAATGAAACGGACATTGTGCAGTATGTAGACACAGAGGCAAACATTGCCACGGAAGTTTCCCTCACAATCCTTGACCTGTTGTGTCTCTACACTCTGAATCACCAGGTATGTTTTGCTGTTCTATTTTCTGCTTGAGCGGGTGCCATGTGGGATATGTGGTGGAAGGAAGGCCTGGGGGACCAGGCACACACAAAACTTGAAACGTCTGAGAGCAGGATAGGGAAATATGATGTGCCAGTCCTCAGTGAAGGTATTTTGTGAAGGAACTGACTCACAGTACCCAAACTGAAGAGAAGGATGTGGAAGTAGAGCATCCCCCATATCCAGGGCTATGTACAGCCCTGCTCTGCATCAAAGTGTCGTGCATGTACTAATAGGTCACCTTACCTGAATCATGCTTATCCCACTATCTTTCAGAGAATTTAGACAAGAGATTTCCCAACTGCTTGTCATCTGTATCTTTTCAAGTCAGCAGGTGGATCCTCTGCCTCCTTAAAAATTGCTGCAGGTCTCACAGCTACAATACAGCAGGCAGCTCTTTTTAGATTTAGTGTCTCCTTTCTGCTACCCTAGTCCTTAAATCTATACCATCTACATGTAGGAGTACAGGAATAGGAAAGTGCTGTCCTTGAAAAACTACAAGTTAAAAGAAACTGCAGCAAGCTCAAAATGCCTCATCTGCAGAGATTTTACAGAGAAGAAAAGCATCTTCCTAGGAACACTTGCACGTGGAGTCCTGCAGATTCTTCTTCTGTTTATTCACTTTAACAACCAGAATGTCCTGTCTTGTCTGTGAACTTTTCAGAGGCAGCTCCAGCAATCTGATTGCCAGAATGCATTGATGAAGAAGGTCTTTGACACACACATGCTCTTTTTGCAAATCAACCAGTCAGCAGCAGCTCTTAAGCACGTCTTTGCTGCCCTCCGGCTGTTTGTAGGCAAGGTAACTATGGTTTTATTCTGTTAGTTTGACCTACTAATATGTGAGAGGAAACAAACGTCTTGAGGACAGTTGGGTACTTCAAAGAGTTCTGGATTTCACTGTATTAATGCTCGTTCTTGACAAAGATCTTTCGATTTATTGCTGATTAATAGTAAGAATTTCACAGTATTTGAAAAATTAGTTCTCTTTTAGAAAATGAAAAATTTACTAAGAGAGTGAAACTTGTAAAGTGAATAGGTAAGTAATGTCTAAGTCTGTGCTACCTGGCTGTGTCATTGGCTTTTATGCATTTACCACCCATAGAAGAAGGCTTGAAACTGTAGAGGTTCATGGTCTTCATGGCAGATACCTGAGTTGCAGAATCCAGTGCTGAATGACTACAGCTGTCTCCAGAGGAGCTAGCAGGAGAGTAGTCCATACACTTGACCAAAAGTTCATCCAGACTAATACAGTTTTACAAATACCTTGTTTTCAACATAGAGAAGAGTTTTTGGACAGAAACACATGTATGTGTCACACTGTTATGTGCTTGCATTGCACGTATGTAAATAGTCATGGGCAATTAGACACTTTGTGCCAACTGCAAAGGCTGCACAATTTCCAAGTCACAGATTTAGATGAGATTCCCTTAAAACTAACCAGATTGTAGCACACAGATAACAGTTCCTATGAGGAAGTGAGAATAAGCAAGGCTGGCCTGATCTCTCAGATGTTTCTATGAAATGCAACAGAGTAGGTCAGTTTAAACCATGTGGCCTTCTCCTGGTTGTTGTCTCAGGCAAGGAGGAGAAAATCATGCATTTTCCTGTGACGTAGCTTGAGGACATGGGGGAGAGTTAAAGTAAACCATCTACGGACAGCTTGAAGTTACATATCAGACAGTCGGGAGTGGAAGAAGTGTGCAATGGGAAGGATTAGTACATATCCCGGATCACGCTTTTCATTCATCTCGTGGCTCTCGGGATTAAATGTTCTCTTCGTAGTTCTGTTGGAACAGGGATCAGTTGTGGTTCCTGCAGCAGAACCTCTCGGGTGGTACTTGAGATCTGTGGCCAGTATGTATGTCTTCCACCTCTCCTCACAGTCGGTACGGTTTGGAGAGCCACCCTTCACTTCCTGTTGTCTCCTGCTGCTCAAACCCCTGACCACTGGAAGTTCACCGACTTTGCTACTCAAAGTGTCTTCGTTCTCCTGAACAGCTTTTATAGCAGTGCAGAACCGCCCCCATGCTTTTACTGGCTCATCATTCTGCATTCCTTTTCTGCTTACTGTGTGCCAGCTGCTGTCTGGCCTTCCTGGAGGACAGTTTGATTGTTCACTGCATACAATGTTTGTGCGAAAGCCTCCGCAGTTTTCACTCAGTCTTAATTTGCACATGGGATTACGTTTAGCCAGTGGCTATTTTTTTTCACTTAACCCTGGTGTGAATGAGGGAGAGAGATGTTTTTACTGAAAGCTTAACAGAAAAAAAGTATCGACTCAGAATAACTCTACCAAGGCCTGAGCAGTGCTAAACATATTCATATCTTTTTTTCAATAGTTCCCATCAGCATTCTTCCAAGGACAAGCAGATCTCTGTGGTTCACTCTGCTACGAAATCCTGAAGTGTTGTAACCATAGGTCACGTTCAACTCAGACAGAGGCATCTGCTCTTCTTTATTTTTTCATGAGAAAGAACTTTGAATTTAACAAGCAGAAATCAATAGTCAGATCCCATCTACAGGTAAGTGGAGTGTGAGAGCATCAGTGTTTAGCTGATGTGCATTGGCTTTTATCATTATTATTTTTATGCACTGTAGCAAAGCAATTCTTTTGGAGTCCTCAGGCAGGCCATTCGCTGTGGCAGCTTGATTTTCCTGCCAAGTCTGAAGACACTGGGCTGGATTCTCTGTTGTTCTTGGGCTGGTCGGCTCTCTTCCAGAGAGAGACAGCAGCTGTGAATGTAGCTGCATAGCCAACAAGTAGCCAGATAAGCAGCTATTCTTGATTCATGTGCATTGCTTACAGTGGTGAGAACATAGCCGATGAAGGAACTAAACAGGGTCTGATAGTACAGGAACAGAAATGGCAGGTCCAGTAACAATGCACTTACTCTGCAAAATGATTACTTACAGTCCTTGTATTTGTATATGTTAGCTTCTTAAAACAGATATAAAAGTGCACCTCTGGTACCTCAAGTCATACTAAAATAGGGAATAAAAATGGTTCAGAAACTGATTTTCTTTGCTAATTGCACCCTGTGTTTGCTCCCCACCCCGTACAGCTCATCAAAGCAGTGAGCCAGCTGATAGCGGATGCAGGGATTGGTGGATCTCGTTTTCAACATTCACTGGCAATTATAAATAATTTTGCTAATGGAGACAAGCAGATGAAAGTAAGAAACATTTTTTGTCACACTCTACCTTGTGCAAAAGGTCAGCAGTTTCAGATGAGCAACTGTTTCAGTGAATAAAATTGTTGACTCTTATTATTACACGGTGATTTATGCATTCACAGTGTGCCTTTTTCAGGCAGCCTGAAACTCATGAAAATGTTTGTAGCTTGATAATCAAAAATATTTTTTAAAACAAGACATTTTATTTGAAAATTGTATTTTTTGGTATTCACTGCTTATTTTGTTCGTTTGCTTGATGTCAGAGAAGTTACCATGCATTCTGATCAATGAAACTCAATTGCAGGTGATAACTTTTAGTCTACAAACTGTCCCTTTAGTCTGTTCAGTAAATTATGTAGCAAAAGCATGCGCGTGTGTTGGGTTTTGAAACAGCTTGCTAACCCCTGAAAAAGACACTTAGCTCTTTGATTAGTTACCACTGCTATAATATTTATTGTCTGTACTGGAGGTATTGGAAAAAGATTCCGAGTTCTAATTTTTACAACTCCTGTTGAAACATTTGTCAACACGCATTTTGAATTTTATGCTTTGGAGGTTTTTTTCCTTCTCTGAAGGTGACTTTAGGGTATCTCCATGGAAGTTAATCATAAAGTTCGTGTAAGCAAATTGGTAGATAATTAGCATAAGTCTTATTAAATAAAATGCAGTTACAACTGTATTTGTTTCCTAAGTCCAGCTTTGGTTTCCCAGCACTGCAGTCAGTTACACTGCTTCTGTAACACCCTCATCTCTGTGTGATGTAGAGGAGGCAGCATGTAATTTAATTTCATTTTTCTGGATGTTTTTACTTTTAGACAAAGGGGAAGAAGGGAAAAAGGCTGAAAATGGAAACATATCTCATTGCCCGTCTGAAAAATAGAAACTGCAGAGCAGAGTTAGATATGTTGAGAACAGCTGATAAGAGTAATACAAGGATCCTCTTTTAATCTTGCGCAGCATGAGAAGACCGAGAGCCAGAGCGTTGCGCTTTGTTCGCTGCAGTGGCACATGTTGTGAGTGTCGTTGAGCAGGACTGTCTATAGCAGACGGTGCTGCTCATCAGCTGAAAGTGTGCAAGAATCCAGTTCTGGATCCAGTAGGCAAGCCAGGAACTCGTGTTTCAGCTTGCTGTCTTCAGCCACGTTGCTGCATACAGACAGTGGTACAGCTGACTAACCGGGCTATCTCGTAGGTGCTCTGACACATCAGTCAAGGGTTTGGGTACAATGTGTATGTACTGTGGGACTGTGGCTCTGCTTCACAGCCGACTGAATTAGGGAAGGGGCAGAAGGTCTTCCATAAGCAGGGCTTTAGCTCGTTCAGGAGTGCTGCACGTGGCTCTTTGGATGGTTTTAGTGATATATTGCTTCTCTTTCCCAAAGAACGTTAATTTCCCAGCAGAGGTGAAGGATCTGACAAAACGCATCAGAACAGTTTTAATGGCTACAGCTCAGATGAAGGAGCATGAGAAAGACCCTGAGATGCTTGTGGATCTGCAGTACAGCCTGGCAAATTCATATGCCAGCACGCCTGAATTACGAAGGACATGGCTTGAAAGCATGGCCAAGATTCACGCAAGAAATGGAGATTTATCAGAGGTAATGTAAATAAATTAATAGGAAACTCATTCATCTTTAGGCTGAGATGTTCTGAAAGACAGACAACAGTAGTGATTTAAGAGGATCATACAGTATCTCTCATATACTTGAAATTAGAGGAAGTCAGGTTTGAAAAACACCTGGAGATGCGGTGTACTCATTATCTCAGTATGCCTAATTGTGACTATTGCATACGTGCTTCAGTGAGACTTGAAAATGTCTGACGGGGAAGCTGTGGTCAGTACTGCATTAGCATCGCTGCTGCTTAACCCCAACAGGCACAGCAGGTGTGGTGTACACGGGGTTATGAGCTGTGCAGAACTTACGTAAAGGGTTTTATTCTCCCCCACTATGGCACAAGAGAGGAGCTTTGTTTATAATGTGTTGTCCTTCTCATCAAAAACTAAATGGCTGATGCAAAACCCCAGTGCATAACCCGGAAATATCTCATTTACTAAGCAATCCTAATCATTTTTTGAGCAAATCTATGCTTTTAGCTAAGACACCTAGTGAAATTAACACTCAAGGTCTTCATCATTTTATCCTTTATGTTCTTAAATGGTTATATTAATTTTGTCTTCCCTTTTCTGCAGCATGACTTGACAGTGATGAAAGTATGTGCTCCTTATCACACGTATGCTGTAAGTCATATGGTGTACTCTAACATATACATGTATCTTGGTCTCTTCTTGCAGGCTGCTATGTGCTATATTCATATTGCTGCTCTCATTGCAGAGTACCTGAAAAGAAAGGGTAAGTTCAGCATGTTCAAAGCCAACTATATATCTATAAACATTATTGTTGAAAATAATTTTGGGCTGTCCTGCTTTCCTTCCTTATATGTAAAGTATTCTTAAAGCTGCTTGAATTATTCCCAAATAGTTTATTTTTAAAATATACTGTAATTGCTAGTCCCAGCTCTGGAACAGTGAAAGTGTGTGTTTTGTGTAAAGAAGGTTAAATAAATGTTTAGTAAGCCAGTGCTAAAAGAGAATGCTTCACTTGTTAGTCTGTTATTAAATATGCATGTATTAACACATACCTGTAGCAGTGTACTAATACCATCTTACACTACCATAGGTTACTGGAAAATGGAAAAGATTTGTACCTCACGTATGCTCCTGGAAGATGGTCAAGTCTCTGATAGTAATGTGTTACTAACAACTCACAATGGAGGAAGTGAGTGCTCTAACCGTGCCTGTTTACGGGTCAAATAACATACTGAGAGAATCAAACTGCTGTTCTCCAGTTGATCTGGAACAATATCTACCGCAGTAAAAATTTGTATAGTGCATGTTGATGGCTGTGAGAGCGAGCAAATAATGTCGGAAACATTGGGTGTTACTTTCCTGATGCTCTTTGGCTGGTTTGATGAATTGCTCAGAATTGTCTCTGGTCAGGGGTTTTTTCAGTGAGAGAGCAGACTGCTCTTCATTGGCAACAGAAATCCCTCTCGGGTCAATCAGTGTTTAGCATGCAAATCCATGTCCAGTTCCTTGACTAGCCAAAGCTGGGAGGGCACGGGGGCAGAATTAGTATCTGGTTATCCATATGTAACTTAGTATAGATAAAGGGTTGTTTTTAAAAAATCTGTGATGCTTATTAGAGAAATAAAGTGCAGGCTTATATTATTAAATGCTTCTATGTCAGTGGTTATTTAGTTTATGAAATGTGTATTTCAAAGTAATTCTCAGCATGAGATATTTTACCAGTTTTCACAAAGAGCAATTTCTGGGGGCAAGGGCAAGTATCTGGGGAAGAGAAAACTGTTAGTTTTGGAAAGACCGTGGTTCTCCAACACACTCGGAAGGGTCTGTGGTTGAAATTAAAATATGCATCCTTTTAGAAACAAGCTTTCTGTGAAGAGCAGTACTTCAGACGTGCCTCGTTAATGGTAAAATACTTTGCATGAATAACAGATCACAGTAGATGGAGTGAAGAACTTGGTCATTTTACACCTGTTTTCAAATATTTTCACAACTTGACAGAGGGGAAGGAGCCCCTCTGTCTTAGTGCATAAAAGCTAGCTTTTTAATCAGGCCTTACTAGCATTTTCAATAATCAATTCTGGACCCCTCAGGTCAAGAAAGACAGGGAGTTGTTTGAAAGAGTCCAGCAGGGCCACAAAGATGATGGAGGGAGTGGAGCATCTCCCTTATGAGGAGCAGCTGAGGGAGCTGGGGCTCTTGAGCTTGGAGCAGAGGAGACTGAGGGGTGCCCTCATTCATGGTTATCAATTTGGAAAGGGCAGTGTCAGGAGGAAGGAGCCAGGCTCTGCTCTGGGATGTCCAATGCCAGGACAAGGGGCAATGGTCCCAAGCTGGAGCACAGGAGGTTCAAGCTGAACATGAGGACAAACTTTGTCAGTGTGAGGGTTATGGAGCATGGCCCAGGCTGCCCAGAGAGGCTGTGGAGTCTCCTTCTCTGCAGACATTCAAAACCCACCTGGCCGTGTTCCTGTGTGACTGCTCTGGTGATCCTGCTGTGGCAGGGGTTGGACTGGGGGAGCTTTTGAGGTCCCTTCCAACTCCTGAGATTCTGTGATTCTGTGATTTTCCTACTTCTAAATTGAACATGAAGCATGTTAGGAGTTCACTGGCAGGTTTACCTTCGCCATTCAAGAGTGGTAGTAAAATCTTCACAGGTCCGACTCTGCCCGATCTGTAATGTGCCATGCCCATGTAAGTTGTTCTTTCTGCAACCATTGCACTAAGGCCCCAGCTTAGCAAATACCAAATACAAGTTTGGTTTTAATCCTTGTGAGTTTTCCCACCAGCAGCTTCTGCCACTGAGCTTTCTACATGAGAGTTCCTTGGTTAAGGCTGCGGTCACCCTGCTGACAGGGCAGGGTGAGGGTTGTCAGGGTGTCCTCAGGCACAGCAAAGGCACGGCATGCTCTGGAGCAGACATCTCCCCATCAGCTGCAGTGAGTTTGGAGTTTAGGAAGCCTGGCAGGTGGGACAAGTGCAGATCCCAGCATGTAGCGTTAAGTGTCTGCAGGTCAGGCCAGAAGCCACAGCACTAGTTTTGTGGGCATAAATTGTCTTGCCTCAGCCTGTGATGGTAATTTCTGTATAGGTGAGTGTTGCATGTGTAGTTTTACAAGGACTGCCAGCACTGTACAGTAAGGACCCAAAATACCAGAGAGAGGAGCAAGATTGCATCAGGAAAATGTTATAGTTGCCCTTTGCCTGAACAAGTGGATTTATACCATAGAGAAAATGTGTAATATTCTCATAAATTCAGTCACTTCCATTTGTGCTTCTCATCACTTGGGCTGTGGAAAAAGTAACTTATCCAGTCAAATAAAGTCTCTCTGTTTTAATGGCATCCAAGAATTTTATTAATTATCTGGTTATTCAGTCATTAACTGGCATTGTTATGACTTGCACTTCAAGGCTTATTTTCCATGGGATGGCCTGCTTTTCTGAGCATTACCCCCAACATAAAGGAAGAAGGTGCTATGAAGGAGGACTCTGGGATGCAAGATACTCCCTATAATGAGGTCAGCAGCGTTAGCATTTATATACTTGTGCTACATTAACAGACAGTTTTATTTCTGACGGGTGCCTGTGGATGTTACAGCAAATTGTAGTGAGAGTGTACTTCACACAGTGTTAAAAAGCGCACGGCTTTTGAGTGCAATGTCATAGCTGTTATATTAAATAGCAGGGCTAGGTGTTTAGCTAACCAGAATGTTAAGTACCAGAGCTGGAAGTTAGGGCAGGGGAAAGACCACAATGCAAACCTGTTCTTCTGAATGAGATGTCAGTGAGATTGAAGTATTTTCATGTTACTGTTATTGCAGTTTTTTTAATCTAAGGAAGAGCTAGATTACCGATACCCGAAGACCACAACGCAAACCTGTTCTTCTGAATGAGAGGTCAAGTACTGAAGTATTTTCATGTTACTGTTATTGCAGTTTTTTTAATCTAAGGAAGAGCTAGATTACCGATACCCGATTAAACACTGTGTCATTGAAATAAACACTAATATAGAAGCTGCAGAACAAAACCAAAATAGCGGGTATGCCCTTTTGCTGTGTTGCTAATAATTAAATGCCACCAGCTGTGGAGTCACTGAACTGTTTGTGTTTGTGGAACTGCAGAATGTTCTTGTGGAGCAGCTGGAGCTGTGTGTTGAGTACCTGTGGAAGTCTGAGAGATATGAGCTTATTGCTGAGGTTAACAAGCCCATCATTGCTGTTTTTGAGAAGCAGAGGGACTTTAAAGTAAGTTGGTTTCTATTATTTTTTAAAAAAGACAACAGTAAAGATCAAAAGTTTTAGGGGGGGGAAAAAGTGGTTTCAGCACTTCAACAAAAGGAATCTTGTTTTCTTTCCATCTGTTATTTCTCCTTTTAATGCTTTGTGCTATGAGTAAATGAAAAAGTCTGGGACCTTACTTTCCTCTTTTCAGCAGCAATGCAGCAGTAAATGAACAAAGAATTTTCAATCAAATCTCTTGTGTTAACCAGTGAATGTGATTTTTTTTTTTTTACATGTGTTTTTAAACTATGAGCACATTTGCGTTGTATTTAAGTTTAGAAACTGCTGATAAATTTTGTGATCTCTTCACAATTCCAGGGTTTCTTAATGTCTTATTTACCTGGCAATTTCAATACATAATAGATAACTATATGATAATCTCATTTACTGATTTTTCTGCTTTTAAATTTAAAAAACAAAGTCAAGGGTTAGGATGCTATAAGCTGTACACCGAGGAAGCACGTTCTCACATTTAAATGTAGTTGAAATTTGGTTCACTGTCCCCAGAAGGTGCTTTTTAGTGATAATTGTGGATAGCATATCTTTGCGTGTGGTTGGGAGCTGATTGGAGTTGCTGGAACTCTGCTATTGCCTGCATAGGACACTGGGGTTCTCTGACCTCTTAGGAGGTCCCTACCAGCCTGGTGGTGGGATGCTTGCCTTCCTGTGTTACCCTGTACACAAAGGCCCCCACTGCTACAGTGTGCTCAGAAGATGACAGAAACCTTGGAATGGCTCTTTAGTGGCTGCTGACAAGGTGAAACCTTAGCACGTGCAACCATCCTTACAAAGGTTTGCTGATCCAGTTAAGAAAAGCCATGCCTGTGTAGAGCCATAGTGTCATTTCCCAAAGTACTCGTGCTTTCTCACTTTCCCTCACTCTCCTTATTTCTTGATGTAGAGACTGTCTGATTTGTACTACGACATCCACCGCTCATACCTGAAGGTTGCAGAAGTTGTGAACTCTGAGAAACGTCTCTTTGGGCGATATTACCGCGTTGCATTTTATGGACAGGTAAGTCACCTTGTGTTCTGTTGTCTCCCAGATTCCCAGGTTTCAGCCACACTCTTCTGATCCTGATGTATTTCAGGAAAGCTAAAACAGGGAAATGGTAGTGAATCATGGGGTAGAAAGTGCCTTGTGGGTCATACTCAAGGAAGAATTTTACTCAGAAGAGAGACCACTCGATTGCATCTGTGTAAACTGCCGGTATGGATTTAGTGGTGTAATGGAGAGCAGACCTGTACAGCAGCTTTAGTTCTTGACTTTGTCAAGCAAAACTGAGACAGAGGCAAGGCAGGTTTTTTTCAGAGTAAGACTTAAATAAAATCAACTAAGACATCTTTTGTATATATGGCCCTCTCTTCAAATAGAGCTTAAAGCAGAGCAGTATGCAGTAGATGTTTTGTTGTGTTTCTTGCTGACTCTGACTTCTGCTTTCAGGCCACCTCTGATTCTGTGCAATTTAGAGTAGTTTTATTCCCTCTGCTGTGCTTCAGCATCCTCAAAGCATTATTTTGTGCTTTCTTCCACTACAAACCAGTGTAGTGATCCAGCATGTTCTTTTAAGACCTGGTTTTGGCAAGCACGCAATCTCCTTTACTCTAAAATAATGTGTGTAAACAACAGATTGATGTGAATCATTCTGTTTGCTAATTAGATTTTAATGCAGAAATTTGCTCTTTTCTCCTTTTGATCTTATTCAAGGCTGTGGTAAGTCTAGTTCTTTTGCATGTTTTGTTTAATTCTCCTCACACGTCCTCCATCCTTCCCTGTCCTGTTACTTAACATTAACATTCCTGCGCTCTCGGTTCTTTGGTTCATGGCAGATGAAATAACATCGTTTCATCCATTGTTCCATCCTGCAAACTAATTTTTGTTTGTTCAGTTACCTGAACTACCAAGCTGTATCTGTCGCCGTGTTGTGTGTGCACCATGAGGCCCAGCGCTGCATTATCTCATCTCAGTGAAAGTTTTCCTCTCGGCTTCACTGGGAAAGGGATCGGACCCCTTCTTCCTCTGTTGAAACGTCAGTGTGGCATTAATGCTGTTTGAATGCAAGCCTGCTTTCCTGGCCTGGGCAGTCTGCAACACATGGCAGTGGTAACTGGAGCGCTCTGGGCCAAGTGCAGCCACTTGGCTGACAGTCCCTTCTAGGAGCAATCAAACTGGGAGTTGGGGCAATGGCGAGTCCTTCCTCGAAACAGGGGCAGCAGAGGGGGCCACAAGACTCTCCTGCTTGCAACTTCTTGCCAGGGCTCTCCTGGAGGGAGCTACTTGTAAGTGGGTAATTGAGCTGCATCAGTTCTGCTGAACTGGGTTAAAATCTCCGTTACAGTGTAATGACTTTTCAGCTGCCAGTGCCACAAGGACAGCTTCATTTGAACAGTTTGGTGCTCTAAAGCATTTGACTTTTTCATAGCTGCCTATTGCTCAGTCTGTTCCCTGGTAGCCCCGAACAAAGAATTCTAAATGCACACAAGCACGGTTTCCTCCTTTCCTTTTGCAGGAGAGATGTTTTGTGGTAGAAAGTGGGACTGCTCTGTTTTGCCCCCTGCAGAGGCATAGTGACAAAAATGTGTGGCACAGTGCAAATAACTAAGGATAGATCATTTCCGTCAGCATTACTTGTGCCTCACTTACCAAGGAAAATTGGAGCGGGTGTGCAGAACCGATTAAGGAGGGCTTACCAGTACCCAAAGGACCATGGCAGGTGTGGGAGCTGTAGATGAAGCTTGACCTGGAAGGAGAGAGAGAGCGAGCAATCTGTTCCCGTAGTCTGGTTGTGCCTGGATACTTTTCCTGTCGGAAGGTTTCCTTTCTGTATTTCTGTCAGGCCTTTTTCCTGTGTGCCACTTGCTTCTATTTTGGCTGTGCAAGCAGAAAGATATGGGGCCTTTTGCTCCTTCTGTTGCCAAGAGTATTGCAGGCCTCCATACTGAAAGCCATCTCAGTGCCCAATTCAATTCATTCAAAACCTTAAAAGCGATTCCCTTCTTCTGTGCTTCTGGCAGGCTTTGCACTCTTCCTCCTAAAAGCTATCGGTCGCAGGGTTTACTGCTATTACGCAGTTAAACCAGTGTAAAGTAATGTGAATCTAGGTGGAATTAAATCTAGCCAGGGATATAAAGGGGAACAAGAGGACTTTCTACAGGTACATCAGTGGTAGAAGGAAGGCTAGGGAAGAAGTGAGCCCTTCCTGGAAGGAAGATGGAGAACTGGTCACAAGGGACATGGAGAAGGCTGAGGTGCTCAATGACTTCTTTGCCTCGGTCTTCACCGGCAAGTGCTCTAGCCACGCTGCCCAAGTCACAAAAGACAAAGGTAGGGACCGGGAAAGGAAGATCCGCCCACTGAAAGCAAAGATCAGGTTCAAGACCACCTAAAGAACCTGAAGATGCACAAGTCCATGGGACCTGATGACATCCATCCTCAGGTCCTCAGAGAACTGGCAAATGAAGTTGCCAAACCACTATCCATCATATTTGAAAGGTCATGGCACTCTGGTTAAGTTCCTGATGACTAGAAAAGGGGAAACATAACCCTGATTTTCAGAAAGGGGAGAAAGAAAGACACAGGAAACTATTGACCAGTCAGTCTCACTTCTATGTCTGGCAAGGTCATGGAGCAGATCCTCCTGAAGGCTCTCCTAAGGCACATGGAGAATGAAGATACAGTGATTGGTGGTACCCAACACGGCTTTACCAAGGGCAAATTGTGCCTTACCAGTTTGGTGACCTTTTATGGTGAAGTTACAGCTTTGGTGGATAAGGGAAGAGCAACTGACGTCATCTGCCTGGACTTGTGCAAAGTGTTCAACACTGTCCTGCATGACAAACTGGTCACAGAACTGGAGAAATGTGGATTTGATGGATGGACCACTTGCTGGATAAAGAATTGGTTGGATGGTCGCATTCAGAGAGTTGTGATCAACAGCTCGAAGTCCAAATGTAGACCAGTGACGAGTGGTGTTCTCCAGGGATCGGTACTGGGACCAGTACTGTTCAACATCTTTGTCAGCAACATGGACAGTGGAATCGAGTGCATCCTCAGCAAGTTTCCAGATGACACCAAGCTGGGTGGTGTGGTTGGCACCCTGGAAGGAAGGGATCCATCCAGAGGGACCGGCTGGAGAGGTGGGCCCATGCCAACCTCATGCAACAAGGCCAAGTGCAAGGTCCTGCACCTGGGTAGGGGCAATCCCAAGCACAGTACAGGCTGGGTGGAGAATGGCTCAGAGCAGTCCTGAGGAGAAGGACTGGCAGTGTCAGTCAATGAAAAACTCAACACAAGCTGGCAATGTGGGCCTGCAGCTCAGAGGCCAACCACATCCTGGGCTGCATCAAGAGAAGTGTGGCCAGCAGGGCCAGGGAGGTGATTCTGCCCCTCTGCTCTGCTCTGGTGAGACCCCCCT